TGCAGGGACATACATGAAACTGGAAACCATCATTCTCAGCAAACTAACACAAAAACAGAAAACCAAACACCGCATGTTCTCCCTCATAAATGGGAGTTGAGCAATAAGAACACATGGACATAGGGAGGGGAACATCACACACTGGGGCCTGTCGGGGGGTGGGGGACTCGGGGAGGAATAGCATTAGGAGAAATACTGAATGTAAATGAGAGGTTGACGGGTGTAGCAAACCAACATGGCACATGTATACCTATGTAATAAACCTGCACGTTGTGCACATGTACCTCAGAACTTAGAGTTATAATTCAAGGTATAATTAAAAAAAAAAAATGTTGGGAAATACTTGGCTGAAACTTAGGAATCAGATTAGAGCTGTGGAAGTTAATTTGGAGTCATCTCATCCAGAGCCAAAAAAAAAAGGACCAGACTATTAAACAGAACTAACCTCACATGCCTGCTCAGGGCCTAGCACTGTGATAGAAACTACATTTTGCATCCACTCACTTTCACCCTTAAAACAACTTAAGAAGTAGAGTTACTAGCCTTGTTTCTACATCGAGGAAACCAAACCTCAGAACAATTAAGTAACTAGACCAAGAAACAAGTGTTCTGAGTTCAAAGCCTCTGTTATTTTCACTACATTGGACAGTCTCATCAGCATATCTGGGAACATGGGAAAATGAAATTTCTAAGCAAGGAAATGTGGAGAGAAGAATAAAAGGCCAAATATAGAGCTTTGAACTTACCTCTATCCTACAGAGCCTCAGAGGCTTCCAACATTGGATATATTCCATATTGTTCCTAAAAAGCTCAATGAAAGCTTCTGTGTTCTATGAAGATCAGTTACAGAAGAAGCTTGGGTTTCAAAACCAGATGCAACCATGAAAGTTATCTTTATGGTATATGACGAAATAAAGAGGCCACTGAATTAATTAAATCTCCCATAGCTGCTCATTTGTTACTACTTGCATTACTTAATCAAGAATTATTTATATTGCAAATTATCTTTATTCTTTATTACTAATCTTACCTGACAAGAATTAAATTCCCACAGTATGGGATGGGCCTGAGCGTTAGGAACTGGGAAGTTGCTAGGCACTTCTGAGAGTTTAATGTCTGGAACTCCTTCACACAGCAAAATACTACCAACTATAGATTCCGCTCCTCAGCCAATTTAGAGGGCTTGGGCTCTGATTTTGTGCCTTCCTGACTTTACTGATAGTCCCCTCTGCTATATAGTTTAATAGGCTAATCAAATAAATTCTGAACTAAACGCATACTTTTAGATTTTCGTGGAAAAGTCTCTCCAAAATTTTCCTAGGCCATTCTTCTAGGAATTCTCTTTAATTTGTTGCTCATTCTACTTTTGCTTTCGGTGGAACAGAGAAAATGAAACAA